AAAAAAAAAAAGAAAAGGAATCTTTACCGACCAGTACTTGAAGCAACCTGGAAGGCACCAAGCATACGGAGAAAAGCAAAAAAGGTTCCCTTGGTGGTAGATGGGACAGTAGTGAAATACTTTGTCAGTTATTTCCTTTGGGAAGTTTGAGAAATGTAACAAAACACAGAGAAGCAGCTAACAGTCACTTATATTCCACCACCTGGAATTAATCACTAACGTTCCGGGGAAGTTGTTGCTTTCAGTCTTATTTTCTATGTGTGTCCTGGGGGGGGGGGGGGGGGGGGGGGGGGGGACACACATGCAAACTACAGAAGCAAAATACAGATACGTTATTTGTAAAACAAACACTAACGCATTACAGATGGAGCTGAAGTCTTCTTTGACCACGCCCCACTCCACGCAGCCCCTCTCCCCGGGACAGTAACCGCTGAGAAAAGCATTTGGCGACGCTTGTGTCTCTTTCTGGCGTATGCGCCAGTGTCCGTTACATTCAGTAACTTCGGTCTTTACTTTCGAATCTCCCTAACACCGAGTTGCCTTATTGTCGCTGGTTGGACTTTCCAGGTGGTGAACACGGAGATTGAATTAGGGCATTCTTCTGAGATGGGGACCGACGGGAGGGAAAGGGGGTGAAATGTTTTCGGGGAGAAGTCAGGCTGTCTGTGGAGCAGAAGCGGTCCCGCGGAGCCCCACGTGAGGCCAGAGGGCTGGCCTTTTCGTACCTGCCGTATTCGGTCACCAACTATGGGCCATCCCCTGAAGGACGTGGCCTCCGGACAGTAGAGTTTCTGCAGCCAGAGATGCTGGCGGCATTGGCAGCGGCTGGCGCTACAGGTCTTACTAGTAAGAAATAGTAAATAAGCGTGTTCTAATTGTTTCGAGGAAATCATTTATAGTCAGTTTAGTGTTTTGGCGTTGGAGTTGTGAAAAACGGAGTTAAGGTCTGCACTCTTTTCTTTGAAGTTGGTGTGCCGGGGAGGAAGGTCACTGGGTTGCCTTTGATCCACCTTTGACTGGAAGAAGTGGCCCAAATGGAAGATAAAACAAGGAATAATTGGGAAGTAAATATAATTTTGTTGAATTAAGAAATGTTAGTATATTTTCTTCCTGGGGCAAGATGGAATAAATGTATTTCTTCCTATCCCTCCCCTTAAGTACAGTCTTCGAGGCCTTGGACATTATATATAAAACAAGTACAAGAAGACACTGGAAGGCAGAGAGAAGGAGGTGGACCGTGGGGCCTGAGGAACAGCACTTACTCTGGGAAGTCAGTATTACTCGGATAGGAAAGCCAGACAGGGACCACACAAAGAAATTAAAGACCAAAATGCCTCATGAACATAGATAAAAACGTCTTTAGCAAAATGTCAGCAAATAGAATTCAGCAATATATAAAAAGACTTGTGCATATACCAATGATGGGTGGGTTTTACTTCAAGGATACAAGGCAGATTCAGTATTCTAAAGGAACTATTTGAAACTTGCATTAAAGAAATTCTACATTGAAATTAAAAAAAAATTTTTTATTAAATTTTTTTTAAACATTTATTTTTGAGAGACAGAGACAGAACATGAGCAGGGGAGGGGCAGAGAGCGAGGGAGACACAGAATCCAAAGCAGACTCCAGGCTCCGAGCTGTCTGCACAGAGCCTGACTTGGGGCTTGAACTCATGAACCATGAGATCATGACCTGAGCCAAAAGTCAGATGCTTAACTGAATGAGACACCCAGGCACCCCTACACTGAAATTCTTAAAGAGAGATTCATTTTGAACTAGAGTGGAATTGTATTTCTGTGCTTGAATTATTAAGTCCTTTTTTAAACAAATGTTAAAAAAAAAAAAAACCGCTACTCTGACCATGACCTCTCCAGCTTTGGGAAACTGGGCCACTCATAATGCTTGACAATTTACAGTTGAGCAGCAACGTGTCTTGATTCTTAACCTGTGCATTGTTGATGTTTCAGACCAGTTTTTCAGGGGTGCCTGGGTGGCTCAGTAGTTGAGTGTCCGACTCTTAATTTTGGCTCAGGTCATGCATGATTCCAGGGTCGTGGGATTGAGCCCCACATCGGGCTACGTGCCAAGCATGGAGCCTGCTTAAAATTTTCTCTCTCCCTCTGCCTCTGTCCCTGCTCGCATGCCTGCTCGCTGTCTCTGAAATGAAATGAAATGAAGTGAAACAAAATAAGTTTTCAAAGATTTACCTCCAACCTACTGGCTGTATTTATTTCCATTTAAGGTGCATAACAAATACGTAATTAGTGGGACACCCTCTATCTTTCTGGACAGCTGAATAATTGCTAACGTCTTATGTTCAGAGATCGCTGTCTCTGCTCATTCATCATCTACAGACTTTGTCAACAGTCCCTGAACTTCTTCCAATATGTTCTGTAAATGTTACCTTCTCTTCACAGTTATTCAGTGCTTTATAGGAGGTGTCCTCACTCATTTCACTGGAAGGTGTGAAATAGTTGACAGAAATGCTCTCCATTGGAGTTAGTCCTTTCCAGGGTTTTGTCGTCTTGCTGATTACAGAAGATGATAATGATCTCTGTGTCACAGAGGAATAATGTATCTTGGTTGAACGGTGATGGTACCGGTTTATGCCACTTGCCTTATTATTTTTGTTACTGTTGTTATTCCTTTATTATTTTCATAACGACAGGTGCCAGTAATAGTGATATTCATGAATTGAGGCCATTGGATTTGATCTGCCTTATTTCCTGATCTGCCACCTACATTAAAAAAAAAGTAAGCATGACAGAAAAGTAAAAAGTAAAGAAGTAAAAAAAGTAAGAAGTAAAAATATGAAAGGTCCCTTTCCTTCTTCCAGTGTCTAATCTTTCTATTCAAAGTAAACCATTATTAAGAGTTTCATATTTGTCCTTAATGGAAAGTTTTATTATAATGGACTCATACTAAAAGACTGATTTTTCACGTTGCTTTTATCATTTAATAATACATATGTTGGATTTTTCTATTTCCATATTTATACATTTATCTCAGCCTGTTAAATCGTCTCATTATACTAAATGGATATATTTTTTAGTAGTTTGATTGTTTTTTTTTTAAACATTGATGGCCGGGGCACCTGGGTGGCTCACTTGGTTGGGCGTCCAACTTTGGCTTAGGTCATGACCTCATGGTTTGTGATTTTGAGCCCCGCGTCGGGCTCTGTGCTGACAGCTCGGAGCCCGGAGCCTGCTTCCGATTCTGTGTCTCCCTTTTTCTCTCTCCCCTCCCCTGCTCATGCTCTGTCTCTCTCTTCTCAAAAATAAATAAAAACATTAAAAAAAAAAACAAACATTGATGGCCATTTAGATTATGTCCACATTTTACTATCTTTTTACTCTCTTGAACTGTGCTGTAGTCAAAATCTTTATACGTATACCTTGGAATAGCGAGTTTAGTCAAAGTGTGAATTCTCAGTAAGGTGGAATCAAATTATCAACACATTCAGTCATTTTAGCACATCTGACTACGTGCGGCTGGCAGAGAGAAGATTCAGAATGTGAGAAGACAGCGCATCAGAGCGACTCACCACACCTCAGAAGCACGTGCGGCGTAAATAAGAACGAGACGGGATCAGATGCTCATGGTCCGCCACGCTGCTGTTGGCTTCTGTGGTGCTTTAGTTTGTGTACTGAGGTTGTGAAGGGATTCAAGGATCATTTTTACATGGCGGGATTTTCATGTTGTGCAGACTAAAATTTATCCACTCCTCAGATTAAACTCCTCAGTAGCGGATCCCCACCTATTTATGCACGTGGAGTCCTTGTTAGAACTTCACGAAGCCTGAGGTAACACATGCATCATGGTTTGGCTAATATGGGTTGAGAACAGGGCTTCTCCGCAGTGACTGCGACATTGGGACTGGATAATTCCTTGGGGCATAAGCTGTCCTGTGCATTGTAGGATGCGTAGCAGCATCCCCGGCCTCTTCCCGTGCGATTGTCCTAACCACCCCCACCCCAGTTGTGACAGCTGAGGACAATGTGACCTACTGGGGCAAAAAAGGAGACTGTGTTCTACATCTAAACTCAGTATCTGAGGCATTAATAGGACTAGTTTAATACCTAAATACTTACGGATAAAATCATATGGTATCTGAGGTTTGCTTCAAAAAACGCTCTCTGTGTGTGTGTGTGTGTGTGTGTGTGTGTGTGTGTGTGTGTGTGTACATGTGCACACACATGCATTTCCATGGAGGGAGGGTGGTGACAAGGGTGAGGGGGTAAAAGGGTATGGATGGAACAATGACATAGTTGCTGACATTGGTTGATGAGTATATTGTGGGGAAGAGGTGGTTTTACTCTCTTCTCTTGTATGTGTTTGAAGTTCTGGGTCGTAGTTTATTTTATATTTTTAAAAACTGTTTTTTCATGGAACAGTTCAGAATAGATTAGAATATACTGAAGTTTCATCTGTTGACAAATAGTCTTTGGAGCTTGATTTGCTTTGGAGTCGCCTATCAAACGTGTTTTAGAAGTTAGCTGGAATGTCTTTGAGATTCCGGAAAGCTGTCCTAACAAGATGGTCAGGAGAAAGGAGTCTTCTGGGCTCCGACAGTCCTTACCTCTCTCTCTCTCTCAGACTGTAATTGTAGTCACGCAAATTCTGAAACAGAACGTAGCAATGAGTGTGTCAGGTGGTTCTGTTTTCCCTCTAAAGTGAACCAGAGCATCGTGTGGACCTTAGTAATCGAAACGGCAGGTAAAACTGCCCATGTATTTGGTTTAATGATTTTTAAAATTTTCTCTGGTGCTATTTCACGCATGGCTTTGGAAGTTTTGTTTGAGCAAATAGAATTTTATGGAAATACATGGAAAGAATTAGGGTACTCGATTAGGTAATGTTAATTGTTTTGTGTGTCGTGGCTGAATTTATCTTTTGGGAAATCAGTAAGTAAGCACCTCCTCTAGGTAGAATACCGTGATGGTCTTTCAGTGTGCGTGGAGTATGCAGCCAGGAAGGAGGTGCCTGCGTACTGGTTTGGAAAACTGTTTGGGTGTATCGTTACTTGAAAAAACAATAACTTGCAGAGCACTGTGGCCTGATTTGCGTAAAGAAAAGAAAAAGTAGGGGAGGCGAGGTACCACGTGAATGTTGCATGTTTTCACGTGCACACGTGTGTTCACACAGAGGGACACAGATTTTCTAAGAAGACACCGCACAGAGTTCTAGGCGCGTGACACCGAAAGGGTGTGACTCAGCAGATTGAGATTTTACTTTCAGCCTTCGGTTCTTTTTGAACTTTCCGGTGTGGTGGTTTTTTAAAATTAAAACTAAAGATGATAGATTTTCGGGGCACCTGGGTGGCTCAGTTGGTTAAACGTCCGACTTTAGCCCAGGTCATGATCCACGGTTTGTGGGTTCACGCCCCACGTCAGGCTCTGTGCCGACAGCTCGGAGCTTGGAGCCTGCTTTGGATTCTGTGTCTCCCTCTCTCTCTCTGCCACTCCCCACTCGTGTTCTCTCTCTCAAAAATAGACAAACATTATAGAATTATAATGTATCATATAAAACCACATAAAAACCATATAAAACCACATTTCTGAGGTTCTACCTTTATAATACTGGAAATACAGTCTCACAATAAGCTAAAACTTTTATAAATCAAAAAGGAAAAAACAGTCCGTTACAGGAAATGGACAAAGGGGAATGAACAAAGAGAAAGTTCGGTTATCCAGTAAGCGTACGTAAAGCTGTTTATCTGTATGGGTAATTAGGAATACGTTAAAGAAAAGAGCGGTGACATATGGATTTACACCCATTGTATTGACACATTTCAAAGCCTTTTAATGTCAAATGCAGTTGAGGATGTGGGGAATAGGGGAGATTTCTACACCGGGGAGAGGGTAGTAATCAGCACAGACGTAGCAGAGAAAATTGGCTCTGTCTGGTAAAGTTGAAAATGCTTCTGGGTAGCATTTCGACCTCTAAGTGTATACCCTAGAGAGATTCTTGCACACTAGCACAAATATGTTCATTGCAACATCGTAATAACAAAATCGGAGGTAACTGTGTTGTCCTGGTTGGGGGTTTGCGTGAATAAATTCCGGAAGATTCAAACGACGGAATGTCACAGCCGTTGAAAGGAAAATAGCCATCATTGAACAAGAAGTAATTGAGTTGCAGAAGGAAAGATCAAATGATAGCATTCATGGGAAATTTTCAAATGCAAAGCAATTCTGTTGATTTTGGACACGTACACGTGTGATCCAAGCATATGATGGGGAGAATATAACATACACTATGGATGAGTCATTTTATCAAGGGAGGAGGGTGGGGCAGGGTGAAAGGAGGAAGATTACCACTTACTTATATTTCATGTCCTTAAAATTAAAAAGAACAGAAGTAAAGATGGCAAAATGTTACCGTTTATATTACCTAAATGGGCCGTGGTTGTGAAATGAATCTGTGCACTTTTCTGGTTGTTTGGAACTACAGCAGGAGTTTTCAAGAGAGAATGTTTTCAGGGTATCATTCCTGCTGCTCACTTTCTGAGGGTGCTTGACCTGTAGAAAAGTCCTGGAATATTGGATGTACTTCTTTTCCAGGACGGAAAGCATAACAAACATCTTAAGCAATTGTTTGTATAATATATTGCCTAGTTTTACGTGACGTGTCCTCTGATTAAAAAAGTGTTTGTTTTTCCTTTTCAGACAGCATGTTTTCGTGAAGAAAGGGACGTGTTAGTGAATGGAGATAATAAATGGATTACAACCCTGCATTATGCTTTCCAGGATGACAATAACTTAGTAAGAACCACTTTTATATGTTTCAATAGTCTTAATTTTTATCAGCAGAATTTAGCATTAGTTTCTTTCAAGCGTTATTTAAATGTAGTTATTATTTAGAATACCACTGAATTTCACAGCATGTAAATTGTCCTCCTCCCCCCCCCCCGGGTAATTTGGTACCTTTCCACTGGAATCTTTTATGCTCTGTAATAGGCAAGTCGATACTAAATCCAGACATTTAAATTCTAGAAAAAGTGCTCAGGATTTTCTCTTTTCACGATTCTCCCAATATATTTGATCTGTGGTATTCTTTTACTACTTGGAATTTTACACATTTTGCAAAGTGGCCACGTGCCACTTTAAGCGGAGCCGCATTTCACATCCGGGCTCATCTGCTTTTATGTGCGCATCCCGAGCCACGTGGCAGAAGAGATCGGGAATGAGCGTGGAGGAAAACGGGAAGCTGAGTGAAGACTGAACGAGATGATGGTGGCCGCTCGCCCCCACGTACGACCCCTGGGCCTGCCGTTCCAGGCTCTTCGTTTCCTGGCCCCAGTTTTTGTCTCACGGTTTGTTGTTTTTTTAGCACACGTGTCGAGTCCCTGCCGAGTGCCACACACAACACTGGGGCCCAGGGTCTAAAAATTAGTACGAAGCCTTGTTCTCGTGATGGACATTTATGGGACGTGTGCCGTGTGCTAGGCACTGCCCTCTAGATCCCGGAGATTCAGTGGTAAGAGACAAAGGATCTCTTTTCTTACTGTTCCGGATGATCAGTCCAAAGCCAAGTAAGTAATATCCTCAGGCTTAGCTGAGAAAGTGTAACATTCATTCCAGATGAAGAAAGTAGAACATTCATTCCCAGGCGTGAAGTCAGTGAGGAGCCTTCAGAGACGAATGTCAATGAGCTGAACCAAGAAGGGAGAAGAGGCAGGGAGGGCGTGGTGAACACAAATGTGCCGGGTGGAGCGGCTCGATGGAGGGGGGAGGGGCGGGGACAGATGAGAGAGTCCCAGCACGTGGCACCTGACGTGTCACGGATAAGAAGTCAGCCACGTTTCCCAAATCATGGGGTATTTTGGTCTGCAACTCTTGTGTATTTTTAAAAATGGCATTGTGTCTGAGAGCCTGGACGACAGAAATGGGACTGCCTCGACCGGTCTCTTAGCTCCTTCCTGCTGCCTTCCCCCACCATCGCTCAGGCGTCTCTCACGGAGCCAGGCGTGAACACTGTGGTTTTAGGGCCGTGGAAAGTTTGTGGTAAGAGGGGATGAGGGGCGTCTGAGGAAGGGAGGAAGCCAGGGTGATCACAGTAGGGAAGGGGAGAGGGTGTACAGTGGGGCTTCGAGTGGAGAGCCAGCTGGGGAGCTGGGACTTCAGTCTGATTTCAAGAGGGGCTTTAAAAGGGACAGTGTGAACGATTCCTCGTGTTCCAGGGCCTGACTTGTGGGATTCAGTGCTTAGTAGTTGACGAATCGAGTTGGGAAGCATATTTGGGAAGGAGAAAGTAGAGGAGGGGGAGGGTGGTTAGTTTAATTTGCACATACTGGCTTTGAATTGTCATGTGATCCATTTAGTGGGTTAGACCTGTCAGTCAGGTGCTCCTGAGGGCCGGTAGCACTACCCATCTTGGGGTTCTTCCTCTTGTGGATCAATTTTCAGCGAACTACGGCCTGTGGCTCAAATTTGGCCCCCTACTTACTTCTGTACAGCCTGCAAGCTAAGAATTGTTTTTACATTTTTAAATACTTGAAACAAAGTCAAAAGAAGAATATTTTGTGACCCGTGAATGTTCCATAAAGTTCACAATTCAGTGTCCATAAAGTTCTGTTGGAACGCAGCCATGCCTGCCGGTCTGTATGTTGTCAGTGGCTGCTTTTGCACTACAAGGGCAGAGGAGTTGGCCTCTTGGGACAGCCGGCACGGTGACACGTATGTACACGTGAGTCGCGACGCTTTGCACAGCTGCTTGGCAGCCTTCAAATCACAGTGACGGTTATAACTTGATAGCCTTTCTTCTTTTTTAACGTCTGTTTATTTTTGAAAGAGTGAGGGAGACAGCGGAAGCAGGGGAGGGGCAGAGAGAGAGGGAGACACAGAATCTGAAGCAGGCTCCAGGCTCCGAGCTGTCAGCACAGAGCCCGATGCGGGGCTCGAACCCACGAACCGTGAGATCACGACCTGAGCCGAAGTCGGACGCTTAACCAACCGAGCCCCCCGGGCGCCCTAACTTGATAGCATTTCTAACACAATACGTATCGCTGTACGGTGACATTTTATGATTCCTGTCGGGAAGAATGCACGTGCAAACTTTATGTACCGTGCTTTTCAGGCAAGCGGAGTGCGGATGAGATTGTTAACGACCCAAACGGCAGCCCAGTGTGACCGGGCCTCACACCACCGCTGTCCTGCTAGAATGCGGGTGTCCATGTTGCACAGGGAGCTCTGAGCTCGGATCGCGGCATTCCCAGCCCACAGGAAGGCAGCCGTCAGGAAGGTCGCCAAATATAAAACAATACCTTTTCACCGCAGAATTTCGGCACAGAAATGAAACATGAAAAGGATGCAGCAACCATAGGGAGTTCCTGATGGCTCATTTGTCAGGCAGGCAGGAAAGCCACTTACCAGCGTCAGGTTAATTAAATCAGGTGTGTGGCCGCAGAGAGACGTGCTCACAGAAAATGAACTTGCCTCAGACCGTTAGCCTTGGTGAGAACAGTTGCTTAAAGAATGGGGGGCAGTGGGAACAGCATCAGTGGTTGATTTGAAAACCTGGAAACGATTTTGAGTGGTTGGTTTTGGCTCTTGAGTTGAAAGAGGTTACAGATTGTGCTCTGTTGTTGTTAGTTGAGGCGTCGGGGCTGAGTTTGAAGTCCCTGACGAATCGGCCTTTGTTAATAGTTTGTGTGGAATAATTATAGTCCATAGTATTTTCGGAGAAGTCGAGAAGATGCTAATTTGGTACAACCTGAATGTTCTCTGCTAAGATGCATTGCGGTGGAGAGCGGTAAAAATGTGTGTGGACAGATTGACACATAATGTAAGATATCAGGCACCTAAAGCCCGTGGACGTCCTTTGTCGTCTTAATCGGCAGGTAGCTGGCAGCAAATATTTGAATCTGTCGTTTGTTACTGAACCAGTAATATCCCCGGTCAACTTTATTCAGTGTCACGGAAACAACGGTTACCGTGTTCGTGAATTTTTGTCAGAAGCCACAGCCGCGTGTCCCCACCTGCTGTACATAACGTTGAGTGCTTTTGCGGTGTTAACACTTTGTGGCAGAGGGCAAGATTGAAACATTTCTGAACAAAAGCCCCACCCTCAGCCATTATTAGAGAATATTGAATAGCTTTGAAATGCGTTTCTCCTGTAGACTTGACATGTTTTAGAATAAATTTAACCCCAAATTATAAGACAACCCAGCACTTACACGTAAAACTTACACTACGGGGCCGTCATTTTGACATTTAACGTTGTTTGAATCACAGGTAATGTCAAGCTGCTTTATCTAATTCTCATGCTGTCGAAAGTAAAAAGAAACGAGGTCTCCGTTTCCACATAAATTTGTATCAAATAGACCTTTTGAGCTCCAGCTGCAGTTAGGACCAGTTTTGGGGATTTGATTTAAGTGCTAAGGAGCTGCCTCGAGTTTAAAACCCGCTTATCGGCAATTGAGAACTTCACCTGACCTTTAGTTAGAAGTGATTAATCTGCGGTGTAATGACTTGCTTCAACACAAGTAGCAGAACAGTCCCAGAGCGTTCTGCAAAGGCCTTCCAAGTGAGGAGCATGCTCAGTTAAAGTTATACGCTCACGAGGGGCGCCTGGTGGCTCCGTCGGTCAAGCGTCCGACTCTTGGTTTTGGCCCAGGTTATGTTCTCGTGGCTCATGAGTTCAAGCCCCACGTCGGGCTCTGTGCTGGCAGCACGGAGCCTGCTTGGGATTCTCCATCTCCCTCTTTTTCTCTGCCCTCTCCCACGTGCTCTCCATCTTTCTCAAGAAAATAAAACTTAATCATCTGCTCATGAATTGATACCAGTAGCCATCTTTGTGAAGACATTTTCACAGATGACATACGAGCCTCTCGTTACAGATCAGCATTTGCAGAGGGCCGTTAGCTTTAGATCCGGATGATGAGGAACACTGACTCTGAGCCCCAATTAAGCAAACTGTTACACCCCCCTCCGCCACATAAAGAATTCCATTTTTCTATTAGTACACCTGTATCACAAAACTCACACTCAGTTATTTTATTTTGACTTGTACTAACAAAAATGTGTGGAGATTGGTTTTCTATCTTATTATATATCTTGATTTTTCCTCTTGGCCTACAAGCGGAAGTGGTTACTGTCTGGCCCTTTACGGGAAAAGATGGGCGGCCCCCTCCTCGTCGTAGATCACAGCGAATACAAGTAGTAGACGAGAATGACTGCCTAGTGCTTGTAAGCGAGGAGGGTTCGCCTGGAGAGGACAGAGACAGGGGACCCAGCACGGAGAAGACTCCTGCAGACAGAGCGCGAGAGAGAGATGGAGACTCTGCCCCATTGGGTCTAATGAAGGGGGAGTGGGTTGAGGTGGAGGGAGATGGTTCGCAGTGACGTCAGCTGCACCGTGGCGGTCGGAGAGAAAAGATAAACCGGAAATACCGTGCCCACCCACAAACCCTGGTTTTCTGCCTCAGTGGAATAGTGCCTCTCTTGGCCATCTGTATTCTACTTTGTGCCTTTATGGCCCTTGTCCCTGGTACCTTTCGTCCTAGTGCCCGTTCTCCCCTCGTCCCGGTGAAGTCCAGTTAATACTGCAAGATTGTTCTCAGATTCTGTGTGTTAAAAGTCGTTTCCAGAATTCCCGGTTTGAATTCATCTTTCTCATTTCATTTTAGCGTTACCTTCTTTCTTAGTGCTGTCGTTATCCGAGTAACATATGTATATATACACCTTTGACTTAAGTGACATGAACCCTGCTATCTTCAAAAATATAATTAAAAGTTTGTGTAATTTAGTAGTCACAGAGCTCG